CCCTCGGCCCTTAAAGGGGAAAGGTTGCCTACCCCTGCTTTAGTGCCTTGTTTGATGCACATCCCTGCAAAATCCAGCATTGTTCTGTAATGTATGAAGTGTCTCTTGCTGTGTAATTTTCACTGAATACTGTAACATAACTACTGTTTCACACTTCATCTGAAATCTCTGATTTCAGCTGCAAACTGCATATTATGCACTCTATCAGAAATTCCAGTATATGCCCTAGGGCAGCTCAGGTAAGTGGGCATAAGATGAGGCAAGCAACAGAGCAGATCCAGGGTAGAGCAGATTCAGTACCATAGACAGCTCTGCAAGTACAAGTCAACACATTTGGTTTTGGTTTCAGGACCATGGAGAGCAATGCTACGGCTATCCTACAGTTAGTTGATCTGGAGTGATTGATAAGACAGTTTAGACAAGCATCCTTCTGATTAAATAGGAAAGCAGAAGTGCCTTGCTGATAGCTACTCTAAGAACTGCATTTGGCTGTTACAAGGCCTGTACACCATTATGCAGTCACTGACTTCTCCTACAAGCAAAGAGTCAGAGGATAGTGGCACTTCCCAAGACTGAAAAATGTGATGTGGAATATCACATGGAAATGGATCCCAGTTCAGGAGACAGGGGGTTGGTTTTGATGTCTCCCCAATGTTTCTGTCACAGGAATCCTTAGTCTTTAACCTTGATCAGATCTAGGCACTGATACTTGTTCCTGTCCAATTGAGATACTTCCACCTACACATTTCCCCTTTTCTCCATTTTGATCAGCTGTTATTAACTCCATTTTGGTGACAATCTTGACTGTTTTCCTTTTAGGAACAATATTCAGGCCAGCTGCACACCCTCAGGTTATACCAGTCTTTCAAACAGCAATGTTTTGCATTCTCCCACCTTCTCCTCATTTCCATTTTCAGTTGATACTAGAGGTTGAGATAATGAATAGATTTACTGCAGCTTGTTCATTAGACCTCTATTGAACTGTCTATCCAAATGTGAGCTAAGAAATCCCAAAACCTGAATGAAGATGCAAGAGCTAAATAATCACAATTTCATTGCTTCAGTAACAAGGTTCCTCAATAGTATACTTTGTAACTTCACTAATAACTGGTGGCATCCTTGGGTAGAAATCTTAGACAGTCTCTAGTCCCCTCTCTGCTGGGAAGTAAATCCCCAGTTTTGAGTGCCAGATTTTACAGATTCATGCCCTTCTCTGCCCACATGCTTTAAAGGTGATCATAATGTTTCCTTATGCCAAGATCAAAGACACAGTATGGAGAGGGAGAGGGGGGAACTTTTATTATGGACAATTGAGAGAAAAGACAAAAGGGACCCTAATCTGGCCTGTCTTAAAATGTACTAATCCCACCCTGTAATGAAGGCATGAGAGGGATATATGCTGAACTTTGAGGAAAGAAGCCATTTAGGTCTTTATTAGTTGCCTTGCATGTTTCCAACACCAGTGCTCCCTATATCTAATGTTCCTCAGTTTCTTGTGGCTATATTTCATTTAGATGGAGCAAAACAAAACAAAAAAACACATATTTTTTTTCTCTCCATTCCTTAATTTCACTAAATAGACCTCTTGGAAGGCCAGCAAGCTTTTGTTTTGCTCTCTCTCAAACCTGGGCTTGCTTAACTTTCTTCTAGCAGTGGGCCACTCTAGAAGATCATTGCAGATAACATG